ACTAATACGATTAAATTCATTTCTATCTAAAACACAATAAAGTATATTTTTTGCTCTGGCATTTAAAGATAATTTTTGTTTATCTACTTCATTATATTCCTGTCTAGGTTTAGAAATAATTTGATCCAGTTTACCATCCTCTTTAATAACTTTTTAGGCACATAGGGACCAAATTCAATAACTTCCCAAATATTATAATCTATTGATTGAATAAATATCGTCATTCTAGTCTTCCAATAGGTATAATGAGTACCATCAAAGAAAGGAGGACGATTTGTAGAATGCCCCTCAAGATTTGGAAAAATGTGGTTAGCCATTGCTCAAAATTGTAGAATCTTAATTTCAAAATGAGCGCCTTGCTCTTATACCAATTAATAGCCTAAAAATAACTAACCAAGAGGGGGTGAATCGGTTTTTAAAACTTTTTCAAAGAATTAATCTAAATTCAAGCAAGTAAAGATTAAATATATTAATTCAAATAATAAGTACAAATATAAAAGGGATAAGTAAAAGAGAAACATGATTCAAACAATATAATTGTAGATGTTCGATCCAAAACAATGATCTACGTCATCGTTACCTAGCTCTCTAGCACGAATAAGGCCTTTTCACTATGTTGATTGACTTATGGTGCAATACAACCCATTACAACGCTTTCGACGACTTACAAATAAGGAGCGTCGATCCTTATACGATGTTGAGTTTTACGGGATCTTAACACGACCCACTATTGAGCTTTTAGAGGATCTCAATATAACCTACACGGTGACTTACAACAAAGAGCACCGATAAGCAATGTTGATCTTTAAGAGACTTTAACACGGTTCACAAATTGTATCAAAGTGATTTTACAATGGAATACATCTCTTGATAAATAATACAAATAAGTTAAGTACTAAGAGAGGCTAACATTTCAATGAATAGTAATAAATGATAGCTCAAATTTTAGATGAAAAATTTTGATGAATATAATAATCAAAAATTAGATTGAATCAATCAAAGTGTTTCAATAAAAAGATAAAGAAGAAATAAATGCAATGGTTTAAAAATATTCTCAAGATATATCTCTTTTTAATGAATAATTGTGATAAATTAAGTATTAAGAGAAAAATGAGAAAATTTGATGAATATGATGATTTTACAAGTTTGATTCAATCAATCAAAGTTTTTAATATGAAGACGTAGAAACCTTTTTAAGCTTAATATAAATAATTTAAGCACAAAGAGAAATGAAAAATTTTGATGAGAAAAATAATTCAAGTTTGATTCAACAATCAAAGTTTTTGTTATGAAGAAATAAATTAAATGAATGTAAAAATGTAAGTTTAAAGAAGGTTTTTCACAAATATATTTCACAAGAAAACTTTCTTCTAATTGTTTAATGAATACAAAGTGAAGTGGTAATTATAGCAGTCAAAACGTCCAAAATTCTGACCAACCGAACGACTAAAATAGCCATTGTGCATCAAAAATTAGAACGGTTCAAAAAAGACCATGGCGAGCCAGAAGTCCTTTGACTTTTTTGGGTGGTGTGGGCTTTTGAATGAGTAAGTAATATCAAGTTGAAATTGAAAAATAATTTTTTATGCATGTGTTTTTATGAATAATATTTTCGTGCATAAAATGATTTTTGAGTTTTTATCAGTCATTACTAAATGTCAAAGTATTAGTACCTTTACATTAAGAAGTCTAGATTTTGATCTTGATTCGAAGTTTGTCTCTTAGACTTCTCGTCTTGATCTTTATTTGATGTCTCTCATACTCTTGATCTTGATTTTTCTCAACGTTTGTCTTTTAAGCTCTCATCTCGAATGATTTGATTTGAATGCTTAACTTCCACTTTGATCTTTATATGTTGATTTTGGCAATGTTTCATTGATTTTAATATTGAACTATCATCACTCAAAATCAATTGTTAGAAATAATATTAATCTTGTTTATTGTGATCAAAACATTAAGGATGAAATCAATCATAGATCAACAAGCTGTTGCTCGTCTGCCGCTGGCTTGGCGCTAGAGCGACGGTCGACGTTCAGAAATGTGTTTTGCTTCAAACACTTGGTTTTTCAATCTCTTTTCATCCCAAACACTTTTCCCTATATACATCAGACCCTATGAATGTCCAAAAGTGTGTTGAATCAGTTTATTTCATAGATATCAATTCTTTGATGATCCAAAGCATTCATTGATTCTAAGATTCAACAACCACATATTACTTGATCCATACATTCTTCCAAATCATATTTTGTTGATCAAGCCATATTGTTTCACATAAAACCAAAGATCAAAACATACAAAATCTTTTGATCAAACACCAAACCACCTAATCCACCAGAGATAAATCGATACCAGAGATCGGGAGCTATTGCAGAAGCACAAATTCAAGAAGACTAAAGTGAGATACAAGGAGTCAGGATCTGACTTTTGGAGTACGCAGTCCAGGAGGGCTAAGGTATAAACTAGGAATCGAGATTTGTTTTGAATGAGCACACCTCCAGTATGATCAAGGGAGACTGTAGGAATTGAGATCAGAAATTCTATGGAGTAGACGTGTTTGGACTGTAGTGTAAGTTGTTTCGATTTATAGTAGATTATTGACCGGCAAAAATTTTTACCTGTTTGGGTTTCTCCGTGATCATTTTTTGTGTTCTTTATTGCTTTATTTATTGATTGTGGTATTCAAATTTATGACAGATTAACTTGTTTGACTAACAATCTAGAAATAATTAAAAAGTGACTTATTGTTTTTAATTGTGTAATTCCACATGTTGGTCTAAATAATTTAAAACTTTCAGAACTTACCGATATTGCAGGACTTTAAAGGAACCAAAAGGAATGTACACAGATTCAAGATGTCGAGCAACTCACTCACCCCATTCTCGGCGGCCACCCAGATGGTGAGATTTTGTTTGCGTCCATCAATGATAATCCATGCTCAACGAAAGTGCATTCTTGGAATCCTTACACAAAAAGCAAAGACAAATTTCTTGCAGAAAAGATCCATGCATCGGAGATCTTAATGATGGTGGAATCTCATGCTATCAGCAGCGTTCGTGTAGGTCTTAGTGATGGTGGAATCTTATGCTAACAGCAACATTCGTGTATGTTGCCTCGAAGAGAAAATTAAGCTGGTGAATCAGTTGTTTGAAGGTATAAGTATCGATGACTACTTAACAACTTTGGACTGCCAAAGTTTGTGAAATTAAATACATGATCCGTAGATAAACATATTTATAGGTTGTTGGTCCTCAAATGAGATTTTGATGGATTTTGAAAGATTATAAATTTTAATGGATTTTGTGGATTTGAATAGATTTCCACAAAATTCATAAGAATCTCATTAAAATTGGTGAAACTTCAAAAGAGGATGTTATATGTATTTTTAAGCTTGAAATCCATACAAGTCTTTTAAAAGTCCTATCTTAATTAAATACTTATAAATTCTAGAGTTGTAGGATTTTAAAATCCATCAAAATCTCAGTTGATAACACCGTCGTTAATTTCTGATATCATGGATTTGGATTGTTTCATTTTTCCGCTCCCCTTCCCTCCTCCCTCGACAAGGGACTAATTTCATACTGGAGTTCTATTATTTCTCATTTTGTATTTCATTATTTTTCTTCTAAGATGAAAAATAAATTCTTTCGGCCGGCACTACAAGGCTTCCAGCAGGTGCATGAAAAAATCAATAGTTTTCTTGCACGTATTTATATGTTAGTTTTTTTTTATATTGATATTGTCATTTATGGGGAAAACATTTTGATGTTGCAACTTACAATTGATAAGCATTCTATTTTTTGTTAAAAAAATGGAAATATTTCCATGTTCTAATAATATACTAATTTTGTTATTCAATTGAGATTCCGTATAATTACATACATATATAGTTTGACCATGAGATTATTTCTGTAGACAGAAGCACCAATGGAATTTGAGATATTTTTTAATCAAAATTTGTCTATGAATATTGAAATAATTCCACATCTTTAACACTGGCTTTTGAGATCATCTAGAATGAAAGAATCAGTAAACAAAACATCATGACGATCGAGGATCACAAAAAAATTCGTTCAATTCGATAACCGCGGATTCGGGGCGGGAAATACCTACCTAACAGGGCAAACCGAGCGGGTGCTGAGCGAGAGTCATGTCCCGAAGTGGGTACAAAAATCATAGTTCCCGGGCCTGCTATCCGCCTAGTTTAAAGTTAATTTCAAATTTTTTTTTTATCTAGCTAAAATAAAAAGATTTATCATCATTTTTAAAGAGACCATGAGTTGTTCTTAACAAATTAGAGAAAAAGATTAATAATATTTATTAACTAAAAACATAAAAAATAGAAGTAAAAAATAAAATAAATAAAAATAAACGGGACGATAAATGAGGCAGGTGCCCCACTCCGATCCAGTCTCGAACTCACCCCATCCCCCTTTAACAAGATATGGGGATCGGGAATATAACAAAAAATACTCGAAGAGAAAGGAGTGTAAATGATCGACCCATCATATACCCGCCTCGTTGTCATCCCTACTGAGGACGAGCGCCATCAAATGTCAAAAACTTTGAGATTTTAACAAGTGAAAATAAGAAATCAATCGTACATTTTTGTTTGCAAACTTATTTACGTTTGATGTCTAAAAATTTGATCCATTGAAGTTGGACATCTAAGATAACCACCCAATTTATAACATCGTTTTACTTTGATCATGTTTCATTTCAAACTTGAGAAAAGAAATTAAAAAATTGAGGGAAAAGAGAACCACAAATTTATGGAAAAGAAAAGGCAACTTCTTCATCAACATTCTCCTACATATAAACATCGGGATTTTGTATATTTTATTCATGAGACACAGGCCTAGATTATTACAATTCTTACAACAGGAAGGGGATATATATTATCCTTTAGGAGACAATAGACCTTATTCTTCAAACGGATGTTCTATATACATCAATAATGCTAGCCCTCCATGAAAATCAATGAGTCCTGTTTGCAGTCCAGACTACCCATAAAACCTAAAATTTGCAGAAGTATAAAATGAAGCAAATATATGAACCCTAAAAATGCCTCAAAAACTAAATATTAATTAGGTTTCTGAATCACAACTTAATTCCATAAATGCATGCTTCAAGAACACTTTTTTCAGCTTTTCCTATGAAGGAGGAATTTACTTGAGTCTTTTCGTACCTCATAGAAATTTTCGAGTAGCCATCACTGCAAGAAACTTCTTGAATTCCATGCAATCTAATATATAGAGGAGGAAGCAATAAAATGGCAGAATCTTCATTGGGCTGTATATATGTCTATAATTTACAAAACCCTAATGTGTCTTGCATTTATGTTACATTACATGTCTAAGAGCACCGGGGAGTAACAGTTCCCATATTCTTCAAATTGATGTTGTTGCATTTGGCTTTAGCTGATTCACCTCCTTCCGCTACCAAATTCACATTTTGTAACACAATCCCTTGGCACGGATACTTCTTACTGCAGTCAAAATCAATAGCTACATTCGAAGCGCTTGTTCCCTTAATGTTTTGATACACAACATTTTTTACTTGCACAGCTGAACTCTGAAATAAATACAAAGAAATATCTGTATCATAAAATTGACATTAATTCATTATTTCTGATTAGCATCATCTATGTGTAACTTTCCTCTTTTACCTGTTCTTTACACGGTTTAGATTGATCGCAGTAGCTTTGGTCTATGATTATAGGGTTATTTACATTTTGCATCTCCACATTTTGAAATTTGATGTTACTTGCACTTCCAGATCCACCCTGTGCATATAAATTAACATATAGTTAGAGGCAATTAATTTTAAATTGAAAAACGAGAAATTTTTCAAAAACTTGCTAGGAAAAAGAAAGAATTTAGAGTCTATGTTACCATGTAAAATTTACCTGCCAGGTTTTAATTCTGACACCGTTTGTCGTTCCAGAAAGCTTTGCTCGATTCAACACGACATCTGAGACATAATCTTCTGAATTTCCAGATCCTAAGCTTCCGATACTGATCCAAGCCATTCAAGAAACATCAAAAAATTAAAAACAGTTACGCAGTGATATTTAACATTTTTGTGTTGAAAACATTGATGTTTTAAACCTGATTCCATGGCCAGGTCCACAAATTATGTCTGTAGCAAGGACTTTTTTCGATCCACTTACTATTGAAATGCAGTCATCACCTGGACAAATTTGTTAAAAGTCCTGATTAATTAATTCGCAATCATCAAAGTATATTAGAAGTATTGAAGATCACAGCATTTAAACAAGCTTGGTAAATTGAAGTGTACACATTGAAAGGGAGTCTTGACGTGGAGAACCAAATGGCTAAACTTAAACATCAAGTTTAAATATTAATTTAGTTATTTCTTGACTGACTTGTAATCTTCCTAGCATTCTAGAATTCTACATTTTGCACTATAACTAGAGGCAACTTGTGCATAATCCTCACGAGTGTTGTGACGAAAATAAATTAAAATAATGTTTTACCTGTTCCTATATTACACCGGGAAATTTGAATGTTCTGAGTGCCAGTAACATGGATTCCATCAGTATTGGGACTTCTCTCTGGAGCATTCACCTCGAGATTTGATGCTTCAACATTCATGCACTTTTCAAAAGACAGATGAATTTGCGGCGAATCTTTGATCTTCAGGTTCTTCACTACCAGGTTCGTGCAATTGTAGAAGGTTAAGACCTGCAGTAAATTTTGTGGACTCACCTCAAGAAGAATATAAAATACCTCAAGAATTAGAGGAACAAAATGTATATTGGAAAAGCGACAGGAAATTTAGAAACAAATTTGAAGTTTTTAAAATGTTACTAGAATTTCGCCGAATTTCAATTTTCAAGACGTGTTTAAAATAAAAATGCTATCTTCTTAAGAAGTGTAGAGAGTAAATATATTGGATGCACTATCGCAAGGGAACTTCATCAAAAGAAAAAAGTGAACATACCGTTGGAGCATCCTTGCATGGCTGCATGATAAAGAAAATAAAAAATACAAATATCATTAGAATAAAGAGGCAAGTGATCTAATAATTTAAGATAAAAGAAAGAACAACTGCAGGAATAAACTTTAATTTAATTAAATCATTCTTACCGTAGCTTTATTTATTTTGCAGGAATTTTTCCACCACACATTTCCATTGCCATTGATGGTACCACCACCTTCAACAATTAAATTTTGGACACTGTCAAAAAGAAGCCAGTGCGTCCCATCTTTACTGTAGTCAGAGCGATCATCAGAAGCTACCAATGTTCCAGCAATCTGTATAAAGTTAATTTTTATAAATACGTTCATTAAAATAATCCTGATTGTTAATTATTCACTTTTAGAAGTCTTTTTCTATGTATAATTTTCCTCACCTGAATTGTTATTTGAGATTTACAAGGACCTGAGAATTTAATTGGTTTGAGAAGATAATTTTTTCCCTGAGGTACCAAAAAGTTAACAGCTGAGTAGGACGAACAAGCTTCCTCCCATGCTTTCTGAAAAGCCTGAAACAAATTTATTAACAGAAAGATGAACTTTTCGTCTGCAATATATAAAAAGAGCACAAAAACATAGTAACTAATTCTGATTAAACACACACACACACACAAAAAGACTTATTATGAACATAGACTTCTTAAAATTATTGGATTTGCCAAAACATTTTTTTAGTTAACAAATCATTAAAATTTGTTATAGATATAAATAAGGACTAATTACCTTGCTATCATCAGTTCTTCCATCACCTTTAGCTCCAAAGATCTGTACATTAATCGTCTTAACTGAAGCTGCAAGTATTCGAGACTTCTTGAAATCAGAATATCCAGTCTCTATTTTGGCTGAATTATGTAGCTTGACACCTCCAATGGGGCTAAAATACGAAGGGAAAGCTTGAAAATCATAACCGGATTCTTCTTGGAGATAATTATCAAGTAAATCATCACGAAGACTATTACAACACGAAATTATAGAAATAATAGAAATAATAAAGGAAAAAATATTCTTTTGAAGAGCCATTTTTGCATGTAAATAGTAAGATACAAATATTTATTTTGCAGAGAAAACTTTGTGCAATGATCAATTGTTTGATATGAGGTATGAATTTATTTTGATGAATAAAGTCATGCCCAGTTTGCATATTTATAGAGTGGGGTGGGGGTGGGGAGGGTCCTGTCCTCTACGACTCTTATGTTATGGAAATGGGATGGGAAAGATTAACTAATTTTAGACGAAAGATCTCTTTAAAAACAGAAGCTGACTTTTGCTCCATGCTTGCATGTAAACTACATTAGTCTTGTATATGTACATATAGAATTAGGACACCTTACATACATATGCAGGTCGAAACTTCAATTTGACAACGTATTTTTAACTAGAAAATTATAATTCTTATTGTTGGATACAATTTTTAACAACAAAAACTGCGTTGTTGTCGAAAATCTCTTCTATCTATAATCAATTTATTTGTATTGTAATGCAGTTTAGTACATGTAGTAGATGAATCTATATGATTGAATTGTGCAACCATCATGTCTTATGTACTTTAAAAAATAATTGTACATACACGTGCTTGTATAAACCTATTAATATTATATAAAATAATACATTTTCTTGTTTTTACCAATTATAAAAAATGTTAGACATAGTTGGCGCAATTTTGGCAAGTATTGATTCTTGAATTAGCGCGGACCCCAATATGCCCAAGTGCCCAACCTTGATGTCATAGGCAAAATGATAAATCGTTATCCCATGGCTATTTGAGCTTACCATAAAGAATGTTGTCATTTCCTAATTTAATTAACGACTTTGTTTCTACCATATCGTCATACCATGGTTATTAGAACTTGCGAATTTGTAATGACATACCGAACATGTGAGAAGTCATTTATGGTGTTACATGTAATGCATGATGCCCTATAAGGGGACACATGTCACTCGGTAATAAGATAATTACTTCCTTACGTTTTGCAGTTAGGAATGTTAGTTTACTAATTTGATTCAATCATAAAAAAAAATGATGTTGCAATATGTTGCGGGAAAATTAGGGATGGGCTTACATTGTATGCAAAGACTATATGATATAACATGTCATGCAATTGATTTTGATTTGTATAACTTAGATTCCTAGTGATCACGTATGTCAAGAGTTACTTGGGGGCATCTTTTAAATAGGGTGCACATACGTACTATTAGTTAATTCACAATATTTTCACGACACTGAAATGAGAAGATTCGATAAAGTTTAATCTCTTTCAAATTAAACAGTATTTTGGCTTATCACATATGACTAATTAAGCAATCATCTTATCATGCCATTTGGTAACTTTGTCAAGTAAATGACTTATTTCGATTGTCTTTATACATGGGATAGAAGCACAGGCACATTGTTTAACATGAGACAAAGCATAATCTAACAGTCAAATTAATTATCTAGTTTTTGGTTCAACATTTCGAATAAGAAAAGTCCATCCAAAATAGAACCAAAAAGTTCGTTGTGGTTTCCCTTTGATCGCTAGAAATAGTTTATTTATGTTGGGCAATTACTAATTGCAAGAATAAATTCAATAATCCAAGCAACTAATTAGAATGATTAAATATGCAAGAAAATGATCAAAACAAAAACAAGAGAACACACCAAATTTTTACGTGGAAAAAACCCTCCAATGTAGAGGAAAAAAACAACACGGTAACTCCAGCTAAATCCACTATAATAAACCATGATTACAACGTTCAAATTTATGCTTAAAACTTGAGTTATCAACCAATTGAGAAAACAACGATAATTAATCTCTAGGACAACAAACAAACTCACCACAAACCACCAATTTGATTAAACATATGAGATACCCACTTTGAATACTGCGCCTCTAGAGTACCCACTTTGAATCCACCCCTAAATAATATTGAATTTTTTCCCTCCTTTCTCTCTACAGAGTAGCATTTGATTCTTTGCCTTTCCTCTTGTGCAAGACAAAATCAGCCCCTGTTTTTCAGTATGTACAGCCTCTGTTTTCAACTCACAGTGAAAGCTACGGTTAGAAGAAGCAATATATACCATATGTGACCTACAATCACATTAAAGTCATCCCATATACCAATCTCCCCATCCAGTCCACTCAGGAAGGAGATTATCCTCTAACAAATTAGGTAAGAGTACATGCGGCCAATCCAGTGCAAAGTTCAAGCTTTTCTCTAATCACCACATTTGTCATCATATCAACTAGATTCCTTTCAGTATGAATCTTTTCTAACAATATCAATTGTTCCGCCACTGCTTGTCGTAGCCAATGATGTTTCACATCAATGTACTTCGTCCGACAATGATAAGTAGCATTCTTGCTCAAGTCTAATGCACTCTAACTATCGCAATAAACTACATACCCATCTTGCTTCAAACCCAAATTTTGAAGAAACTGTTTCATCCAAAGCAGCTCTATCGTTGCTTCAGTTGCTACAGATACTTAGCCTCAGTTGCAGATAAGGCAACACACTTATGTAGTTTTGAGTGCCATGAGACAGCTCTCCCTACAAAAGTAACCAAGTATCTTGAAGTTGATTTTCTACCATTAGGATCACTAGCCATATCTACATTTGTAAAGCTCTCCAAAATTGGTTTTGAACCTCCAAAAGTCAAGAACATCTTAGAAGTACCTCTTAAGTATCTAAAGATTCATTTCACTGCCTCCCAGTGATCTTTACCGGGATTAACAAGAAACCTCTTACCACCCCAACTGCATGAGCAATGTCTGGCCGTGTACAAACCATGACATACATCAAACTCCCAACCGTAGAGGAATACGGAATCTTTGTCATTCATTCTTTATCTTCCTTCTTAGAAAGACAAGTCATCTAACTCAGTTTGAAGTGACTACCAACTGGTGTCTCAACTGGTTTAACATTATTCATGTTAAACCTTTCCATTACTCTCTCTACGTATTTCTTTTATGATAACCGTAACTTTCTGACTCTCCTATCATGACGAATATGCAACCCCAAAATTTGTCGTGCAGGTCTAAGATCCTTCATGTCAAATGACTTGAGCAAATCTACCTTCAAAATACGAATGAACTGAACATCTTGCCCCACTATCAATGCTAAATCCACTATAATAAACCATGATTACAACGTTCAAATTTATGCTTAAAACTTGAGTTATCAACCAATTGAGAAAACAACGATAATTAATCTCTAAGACAACAAACAAACTCACCACAAACCACCAATTTGATTAAACATATGAGATACCCACTTTGTATACTTGGCCTCTAGAGTACCCACTTTGAATCCACCCCTAAATAATATTGAATTTTCCCCCTCTTCTTTCTCTCTACAAAGTAGCATTTGATTCTTTGCCTTCCCTCTTGTGCAAGACAAAATCAGCCCCTATTTTTCAGTATGTACAGCCTCTGTTTTCAACTCACAGTGAAAGCTACGGTTAGAAGAAGCAATATATACCATATGTGACCTACAATCACATTAAAGTGGATTTGGGCCTTTTTTCCTCATGGGCTGGAAGTCAGCCCATATACCAATCTGGATCCAACCCACTCAGGAAGGAGATTATCCTCTAACAAATTAGTTAGAGTCCATGCGGCCAGTCTAGCGCAAAGCTCAAGCTTTTCTCTAATCACCACATTTGTTATCATATCAACTATATTCCTTTCGGTATGAATCTTTTCTAACAATATCAATTGTTCCGCCACTACTTGTCTAGCCAATGATGTTTCACATCAATGTACTTCATCCGACAATGATAAGTAGCATTCTTGCTCAAGTCTAATGCGCTCTGACTATCGAAATAAACTACAGACCCATCTTGCTTCAAACCCAAATTTTGAAGAAACTGTTTCATCCAAAGCAGTTCTTTCGTTGCTTCAGTTGCTGCAAATACTTAGCCTCAGTTGCAGATAAGGCAACACACTTATGTAGTTTTGAGTGCCATGAGACAGCTCTCCCTACAAAAATAACCATGTATCTTGAAGTTGATTTTCTACCATTAGGATCACCAGCCACATCTACATTTGTAAAGCCCTCCAAAATTGGTTTTGAACCTCCAAAAGTCAAGAACATCTTTGAAGTACCTCTTAAGTATCTGAAGATTCATTTCACTGCCTCCCAGTGATCTTTACCAGGATTAACAAGAAACCTCTTACCACCCCAACTGCATGAGCAATGTCTGGCCGTGTACAAACCATGACATACATCAAACTCCCAACCGTAGAGGAATACAGAATCTTTGTCATTCTTTCTTTATCTTCCTTCTTAGAAAGACAAGTCATCTAACTCAGTTTGAAGTGACTACCAACTGGTGTCCCAACTGGTTTAACATTATTCATGTTAAACCTTTCCATTACTCTCTCTACATATTTCTTTTGTGATAACCATAACTTTCTGACTCCTATCATGACGAATATGCATCCCCAAAATTTGTCGTGCAGGTCCAAGATCTTTCATGTCAAATGACTTGAGCAAATCTACCTTCAAAATTACTTACTTGATTTGTAGAACGGGGTGATAATTGTACAGTAGATGTATATCGTTTAGGATTATGAAATTACCACCATGGAATTCTCTAATATAAACACAATGATCTGATCTATCCTGGTATAACCATTGCCCACTATAAAGGAATCAAACTTCTTATATCACTGTCTTGAAACATGTTTAAACCTATAAAAACTCTTTTTAACTTGCAAATCATGTGTTCTTTTCCTCTTACTTAAAATCCCTCTAGCTAAACCGTGCAGATTTCTTCCGCCAAATCACCATGGAGAAAGGGGATTTTGACATCTATTTGCCCAAACTCAAGATCCAAACTAGCTACTAAACCTAAAACCACTCGAATGGAAGTCATTTTGAGAACAGGAGAAAATATCTCATCGAAGTCAATCCCTTTCTTCTGATCGAAGCCCTTCACCACCAATTGAGTTTTATACTTCACTACCTTTTCACCATCTTTCTTTAGCTTGAACACCCATTTATTTTTCAATGTCTTTTACCTTTAGAAAGCTCAGGTAGCTCATAAGTGTAATTCTTCTACAAAGAATTCATCTCTTCCTATACAGCCTTCACCCAGTTTTGTCTTTTTGAGATTGTAATTCCTGAAAGCATTATGGCTCTCCCTCATCAGTTATCAGCACATAATTTGATACAGGATACCTGGTTGATGGATGATGCTCCCTAGTAGATCTTCTAATCTGAGGTTCCAATGTAGTAGGTCGCTTCCCCTACTCAACATCCTCTAGATCATCATCATCAACAATTGCTGAGTTAAGAATTGAAACATCTATAGAGCATTAGGCTGCATGATCGATTTTTTTTTTCGTGCAAACCTGATTGAAGAGGCTTATGGATTTGTTGAGAGCATGCCAGTTTACCCAAATCATGCAATATGGCAAACATTGCTTGTAAGTTGCAAGAAAAACAAGATTTTAGCCAAAGGTGAAACTGTAGCAGAGCAACTTCTTAAATTAGAGCCCCTCAATGCAGACAACTATATTTATTCTCGAGCGTAAATGCATCAGGATCAGATTGGGTGAAAATGAGCCATGTAAGAAAATAGATGAAATATAAAGGTATCGAGGGGATACTAGGTTGCATCTCAATTAAAATCAACAGTTCTCCGCACGAGTTTGGGATGGGAGAACTCGAATTTCGGCTGTTTTGCGTTATCAGTGAACAAGGAAAAATGAATGCACTTTATGAGCATTGCAAAAGGCTAGCTATTTCTTATGGTCAATTGAAGAGCACGAGAAGTGATTATAATTGTAACGAACCTTAAGGTCTGTGCAGATTGTCAATTTGTCATGAAGTCACTAAGATAATTAGTTTGTACAATTGGTAGATCACTATTAGGGACCGAATTTGGTTCCATGAGTTTGTAAACGAAGCCTGTTCTTGCAGGGATTTTTGCTAAATTTTATTGCTTGATAACTTACATAGCTAATAGGAAATCATTCGCTAAAACAAAAATTATTTAATCAAGAATCTTCAGGGCATTTTGTTACTCGCGACTACACAAGATTGGAGTGTTAAACAATCCAAAAAAATAAAGAAAAAGAAAAGGAGACTAGGGTTTCATTGATTCTGCATAATGCAATTGAATAAGAAAAGGATAATTTAATTTAAATATAAAGAGACTATAATAGGCTAAACAAAGGAAACTGAAAAAACTATTCTATCATTAATAAATAATAAAACAAAATAACCATATATTTCTTAGCATGGAGAATAATATAAACAAGATCTTAACTATATCAAAGATTAAAGTCTTGTAAAGGACTTCATGATTAGGTGCTGGATATGAAAATTTACTATACGCTGCTCATCTAGTACATGACTTATTTCTGGCAAACATAACCACCCGCCCTCCTTCTCCCTCCCCACTTGGAGTGAGGTTTAGGGCCTGGGCTGCCCTTGATAAAGCAAAACCAATAACTTCCTGCCTCTAGCATGCATGAAGGCTCCTTACAATGGAGATATTTCAGGATGATAGTATCATTAGTAACTGATTAGACTTGAACTTCAATTGGCCATTTGAACATTTCCTCTTCTGGTACAGGGATAGTCAAAGTCATCAAACCAGTTGCAACTTCATAGTTAAACTCAGTCTTAGCATTGCCCACTGTACATTTTAGTGGATGCTGCGAACAATATATCCCAAAACGTCCACATCCTCTGACCTTGAGAGCAATTGTTGCTGTTGGAGACCAGCTTTTGCTTAAAGAACCAGATAACTCGGAGGCAACCTCACCATCAAAGTGTTCGACTTTCTTTTCAGAATCCAGCTGGACTTCGATATACTCCACAGCACCACCGGAGTTTAACATGTCGAGCAGCCCAATTGGTGCAAAGGAAATGTCAGGCGTAATATACTGTACATGATGCAATGGATTTCTTTAGGTTATATCAAATGTATAGTAAAAAGCGAACAGACGAGGTAAATCAGAAGTTCACTCACCTTGATGGGACATATGTGGAAGAGTTCATACTCAAGAACTTTAAGCGTAACAGGCAAAGATGCGCCTTTTGGTAAACGAACCATCTCCCTTGATCTGTATGCGTAGACTACGGCATCTCCGTTCCAATCTGATCCAGCAATTTGAGATATGGTGTTGACATCAGAGGCTTGAACAGAACTGGTTAGAGTGTCGGGAGAGGCATCATGAATACGTGTCTTCTTGGCTACCTTGCACCAACCAGCACCTTGGCAGTTGAAGGTACCCACAACTCCAGAAAATTTGTTCGTATTCCAGATTTTAAGTAAACTGTAGATTATATAACAAGAAAAGGACTTCTATATCAAGTTAGAAACTTCAAAAGATGAGAACACAAAGCAAAATAAAGTTACGGACCTTGCTCCATCTCTTGCTGGATCAGCAAATAGACAGTCTATTGTGGGTCGACCAGGCAATTGTGCACGAAGAACTGATCCATCAGGAAGAACCAGCTTTTTCAGAAGCTCGAAGTTGTGGTTACCTGGCTTGTCACTAAATGCATAGCAAGAGTGGCAATCATAAGTTTATGTTATAGACTGAAGATATTGCAAATAAGAAAGTAGGCTGAAATATGATAATACCTAACATAAATTGCGCATCCTCCAATGGCTCTTGCTGCGGCGTGATATTCAGCAGTTGGGTGTAGGCTCTGTAATGTGGACTAATACTAGTAAATTCTCATGAACAAATTTTGATAAAGCTGAATGAGAATTTAGTAATACTCACGTGGAACATGTCCCAATCGGGTTGCATAAACTCTCCCAAAAATATTGAGTTGTAAGCCACGGAAGAAATGTGGATGGTGTGAGAAGCAGGATCACGAGGGTAATAATCATCCGATGCTCTAACAACTGCAGTTTGCTTGGCACTATATATCCCATCAGTGTTATGACACATGCAAGAAATGCATGCATTCTCTGAAAAATTCCTTGAAATCGAAGCTTCAAGGGCCTGGTGGTAGCTACGAGTTAGAGAAACTCTACCACCATGGCCAGCACCAAGAGTTTCGATGATGTTCTGCACATCGACTTTGACTCCATCGACTCCACATGAAGCCAGATACGCATGAAGCTCATTGTAGAAATTAAAGACTTTCTTTGGGTGCACCAGACCCAAGCCATGAACTGCAAGACTGTCCATAACAATGTCTGGTTGATTTCCGAGTACACCTGGAGACTGCACAGGATAAGCCAAAGTTGTGTCGTAGTGCTCCATACCAGGACCAGCAGGCTGCACTCCACCCCAGTAACCTGCTAGTGCATGCCATACGTACACATATCTGGAGGAAAGGGAATGAAAACAAGATAAGAAACCAATAAATAGCATGTTAATATATAGACTAATCTAGCAAGACAGATAAAAATTGGAAAATACATTCTTCTGATGCATTTTCAGCTTTTGGTCTAAATATGATTTATACAAGGCTAATGTAGATCAAAACATGTGGAGGAAGTTATATTTACTTCCAATACAATTCTCCCAAGGCGATGAGATGATTTGAGAATTCAACAAACATAAAAAATTTATACAAACACCAATTAAGCGAAACAACCAAGTTGGGGAACTCACTTGACATGGTGCTGCTGCTTGGCGTCTTCCACGACATGTTTGAGGCCTGGATCCTGTTCTTTAGTTTTTCCGTTCTTTTGAAATTTCTTATTCTCTCTTATCCCTATTAGCCGGTTCGCAAACCTGCAAGTTAAAAAAAGAAACATATAAAAAAATATAGTAATAACTCGAGAATCAAAGGTTTATATGAAATATATAAAACTTAACTATAACCCAATCGTGCAAGAAATTTATCAGAAAGCTAAATTCAGCTATTAGGAACTGTGTTCACGAAAAATAGAAATCAATTAAAAATACTTGAGCTTCCCCTTACACAACTTACATAATGTATACAAATCAGTTTACTAAATTACAAGAAAACTAACTCTGTAATAACACGTGATTCATTCCAAAATTTCTCTTTCCAACCTTTAGCTGATTAAAAGAAGTTAAATCGCTACTCTATACCATTTATATATTAAAGAAACAAAGAACTAGGTGGCTTACTGAGCTCCTTCTTGTACAACACAATTAGGGTCTTCCTTCACCTCACTACCAATCTGTTGCCAGCCATCATCTATGATAAGGAATCTTGGAGGTGTACCTCCCCGAGACAAGCTGCAAGAACAAATAAAGGTTAGCAACTTGGATCCCCATTCACAACCACTTTCTCATATTATTGTTTCGAGAGGAATTAAAGAATTGCAAGGTGTTACCTCTTAAGGCCTTCTTCAACACCCTCAGCAGTAACGTCAGTGTAGAAAGCATCCCATGTGCACCAACCAAACCAATCAAGGAATGAGGGCAACTACAGGCAAGTATAAATACAAAAACATACGTTTAAGATTCTTCATCTTCGCTTCAACCCATTCAAGCAATTCTAAATATAACCAAAAAGGAGAGACTCTCACCTTCTTCTTCTCTCGATGATGAAAAGTTTGCATATGCTTTTCAACAGCTCTGTCGCACACAACAAAGATAGCCATATATTAGTAAAAATGGTACCATAAGGAATCAACAGTGCATAAGGTTATAAATAAGATGAAGAACTTGGGAAACGATATCTGAATAAGATTAAAGGACATCTATTTCTAAGACCTTAAACCTTTGTAAGATGCCCTATTTAGCTTATCTGCAAGATAAGATCGGGGAGTTTGAGGATATGGTGATTCCCAAGGAAAAGCAAGGACTTACTTCACAGCCTGGTTGATGACTTCAAAAGGATTTGTCCCAGCATGCACGTAAACAAGGTAAAGTCCCTGGTTGGTTTCAACAGCATTATCTCCTGAAACAAAATCATGTCACAAAGAAAACAAGGTCATTTCTTTTCTTCTGAACAGATTCTTTTCTCATTTCTAAAGCCACAAATTTATAAACTCCATTAGTTCACACATTTTATGATGTGAACAATCGATTTATCAATCTTTGAGGTATTTTTCTGAGCAGCAAATCCACCTTAAGATACCAGAAGATTGGTCTGCGTGATGAATATGACTAATGGATCATATGGCCTAACATAATTGGCAAATCATGAAGCACGTAGCCTACATGGCAAAATCAAATATGTCCATTCGTAGAACACAACATATACTTATGGATGCCATGTTTTACTCACCACTCTCAAGGCATATCTCCAGTTCATTCTTCTCATTGCCTTGTAAAACAGCACGGAACTGGCCTTCAAGGAGGGGCAGAAACACAGTATAGATGGTCGGAACATCTTCACGCTCCTCTTGAGTTGTGTCTTTGCTCTCAATCAGTATGAACTGGGTCTCCAACGGGATGTCCTTCCCAGAGGTGCCCATTCTCTGGGTCATCCACCAAAGTTTGAAACGAAATAAACACATGAAGCGGACACCCCTGTTACATAAGTAAATTAGAAAACTACAACACATTCTTCTCACTTTTTCAATTTTTTACCAGATCTCATGATTAGATTGAGTTAATCAACAAATTACTTCCAACAAATCATTGAAAATAACCAAAAAGGAGAGACTCTCACCTTCTTCTTCTCTCGGTGATGAAAAGTTTGCATGTGCTTTTCAACAGCTCTGTCACACACAACAAAGATAGCCATATATTAGTAAAAATGGTACCATAAGGAATCAATAGTGCATAAGGTTATAAATAAGATGAAGAACTTGGGAAACGATATCTGAATAAGATTAAAGGACATCTATTTCTAAGACCTTAAACCTTTGTAAGATGCCATATTTAGCTTATCTGCAAGATAAGATGGAGGAGTTTGAGGATATGGTGATTCCCAAGGAAAAGCAAGAACTTACTTCACAGCCTGGTTGATGACTTCAAAAGGATTTGACCCAGCATGCATGTAAACGAGGTAAAGTCCCTGGTTGGTTTCAACAGCATTATCTCCTGAAACAAAATCATGTCACAAAGAAAACAAGGTCATTTCTGTTCTTTTGAACAGATTCTTTTCTAATTTTTAAACCCACAAATTTATAAACTCCATTAGTTCACACATTTTATGATGTGAACAATCGATTTCTCAATCTTTGAGGTGTTTTTCTGAGTAGTAAATCCACCTTAAGATACCAGAAGATTGGTCTGCATGATGAACATGACTAATGGATCATACGGCCTAACATAATTGGCAAATCATGAAGCACGTAGCCTACATGGCAAAATCAAATATGTCCATGTGTAGAACACAACATATACTTTTGGATGCCATGTTTTACTCACCACTCTCGAGGCATATCTCCAGCTCGTTCTTCTCATTGCCTTGTAAAACAGCACGGAACTGGCCTTCAAGGAGGGGCAGAAACACAGTATAGATGGTCTGAACATCTTCACCCTCCTCTTGAGTTGTGTCTTTGCTCTCAATGAGTATGAACTGAGTCTCCAACGGGATGTCCTTCCCAGAGGTGCCCATTCTCTGGGTCATCCACCAAAGCTTGAAACGGAATAAACACATGAAGCGAACACCCCTGTTACAGAAGTAGATTAGAAAACTACAACACATTCTTCTCACTTTTTCAATTTTTTACCAAATCTCATGATTAGATTGAGTTAATCAACATATTACTTCCAACAAATCATTGAAAATAATGGAAAGGTTTCTACTTTATGAGCACTTCCATCTCAGGAAAGTACAACATATTTTAGAATAGTTTAGTGCTCACTCCAAGACACCAACAGGGAAGACATGCAAGCTTTTGCTATGTGAAGTTGTAGCACCCATGAATGCACCAGCAACAAGCCCCACCCCTGATCCATGGGTCAGAACGATGTTGTCAGGGACTCCGGTGAGTATGGTTTTCCCATGAACCACAAGGTTCCCATCGCTGATAGTGATATTTGGTGTAACAGTCATCTTTTCACACTCTGCTGATGTCTGACAATTAACTGCATAGATAGCAAAATAAAAGGTATAACTTAAAAAGGCATTATTTTCAAAGAAACGGAGAACTTACAACATTTTAACTGATGGAAGCCAACTGCAAATATGAAGAAATCTGACCATATATTCGTCTGAAATTAATTTCAGGGTCCAACCCATAAATGTGACCTAATTTTAAGACATCTAGTTCTTCATCGTAGATATCTTCTTAAAAGGCATTCTTCCAAAAAATTGGAGCTAGGCAAAATGTTGATTCAAAGGTACTAAACGGAACTGAAAGTACAACCACTGGCGGACCCAAGGGTGAGCCTAGCGGCACGTGCCCCCCAATTTTGCCTTTTTTTTCTATGTTTTGTTTCAATTTTTGAAAATATTATAAGATGTGAAACGAAATCGAAATATTGCATTTTTAATACCATTTCGAAGTACTCACAGTCTAATTTTTTATGTCGTTAACGGCGTGTGAAACGATCGATCATAGCAATGTTACGACTTGTCAAAGTAGGCGCATGTTAACTTTGAAAATTCTCCGACGATCGTACGGTAGTCAAATCTACAAATCCCTTATATCATCTCAAAGCTTGTTTCGAGAACTATATCATAGGTATATCGAATAGTTTAAACAGATATCAAAAAATAGTTAAAAATGTGTCAAACGTACGTCTTAAAAAAGGCATTTAACTTGCATTTTTTTAAAAAAAATAATTATTTTATTAACATTTATTATTTTTGTGATACAAATTTCTCAATATAATTTACATTATTTTATTAGGAAATTTTTTTTTTTTTTTATAACCGTGGATGTTCGGGCCAGTTTGAGCGCACCTCGACTAATTCCACGGGGACACTGGAGTTTACGATCGGGGTACTCACCTCAGTGGCTCTGAGGGACTCGAACTGGTAACCATTGGAGAGCAAACTCAAGGCCTGATCAATTGAGCAACCCTTCGGGTTATTTTATTAGGAAATTTATATGGGATATGACATTAAAAATTTTCGAAATTTTACATTCGAAAACATCATATTCTATGTAAATTTTCGGATGCAAAATTACATGGGTTTTGATTTTTATAAAAGTAAATTTTTGATGGTAAAATTTCTTCCAACTTTTTTTATCAACTCGATTGTGCCCCTAACTTTAATGGTCTATGTCCGCCCTAGGGAACAGCCAACTTGCAAAAGAATATTCAAGATCATAATCTCAAGTTTTTTATGGAAAAGGAAAATCCTAAGAAAGAAACGCAACTATGAAGAAAATTCTTTTAAATCACCTCCACGCCGCTCCAAATTCTTCTGCAAAACCGAGGCCGGAACTGAAGATCGATTTGCAGTAAAAACACAAGCTCGACGTAGGTTCAAAATCTTCGGATAAAATGATACAGAAACTGAATACCGATATAAAGCTTGGCGTACTATCATTTTCAAACAAATATCACCAAATTTTGAAACTTTGGGAAAGTTAAAAATACCTAAATTATCGAATCGCCTTTATAAGGATAAACACCTGTAAATACACCTCAAAGAATCAACTAAAATTCCTAGAAACAACTCTCCAAAATTTTAATAAACCTTAACCGTAAATTTCTATTCAAAGCTCTGTAAACGTATATAGCTTCCATCAAAATTTAGCAAGACAAGTAAATTTATAGAAATCACTATTCAACTAACGAATCCTTGTGAAAATCCAGCAAAACTTACCTTTTTAATATCTCTAGCCGGCCCGGAAATAGCTACAAAGCTCAACTCCGTCTATATAGAAGCTGTATCTATAAGTCTAGAGAGAGGAAATGCGGAATGAATGAGATCAACTCAGCAGAAGCGCATTCACGGGGAATGCAAACTTCCTGTTAAGAGAAAAGAGAGTGGTATACACGCAAACTCTGTAGGGGTGAATTTAAAGAAGGGAAGCAGCTGGGTTTTATACTCTGTTTGAGCTTAAAAGTCGAACGATCTTTCAATAAAAAGCAAATAAAAGTTTGACACGTATGATACAGTTGTTTGATATTCAGTGCATTATTAAAATTTGTTAGCCCTACGTGTAAAGCAAAGCCTGCGAACCAAGTTCAGAAAGTTGTACTTTCCCAACCTTGACTGCTTATTTTACTGAGGTGAATTTTAATTTTTGTGTTGATAACCAATATTTTTCTTTGACAAATTTAATTATTTTATACATGATTATCAACCTCTTTTTGTTGAATCCTCGAAGTTTTAATACATACTAATAAATATTATTTATTAAAATATATTCATAGCTTTTGTAGATGAGTATAAAACAACTTGAGATTCAAAATCATCACTTGAATTGGTTACCCTGCAAATAATGTGTTATGAAATAGAGAGAAAAAGAAAAGAAATTAGAGAAGTCAATAGACTTTTAGTTATTTCATTGAGAACCAAATGCCCACATTTATAGTGAAGAATTAGGATTGCAGGGAATAAAAAGAAAATAATAATTAGGGCGCAGGTAGAGATGGTAATGGGCCAAGTCAAGCCGAGCCGGCCCATATGCACACGAGCTCGACCTGTGTTCGTCACGAAGCTCGGCTCGCGAGCTCGTAAAAAAAAAAAATTTAAGAAACATTTTTAAAAATAAAAATTTAACCCTTCGTCGAGACGAGCTGAGCGGGCTAGCCGAACCCACTTGGCTAGTGCCCGAGCTGCCCACGAGCCGCCTTTTCACAGGTCGACGAGCCACTCGACCCGTTTGCCACCACTAGGCACAGGGGTATAATTGTCATTAACTAATAAACATATTATTTACAATAGAGAAGAAATTAGAAATCAATTATTATGAATTGATTTGAAATGAATAAAATGAAAATTAGGAATGTCCTATTTATAGATTTTCATGTACATCTTTCTAACGGTCGCATCTTTTGGCAAAATTAATTTCAATTATTAGATCACACAATTTTAAGATTGATGATCTATATTGCACCTTATTAAAATGTCATGACTTTTCGTTATGCACATTTTGAACTTAAAGAGTAGCACACAATTTTTGCACTTACTAGAGACTTTTCTAATCCATGCCTATAAAAATATCTCTTAAATTCCAACAATATATGTGAGTGTGAGATTTAAGAAACAGAAAAAAAATAATTTACGTATAGGACAACTATACATTTATTTTTTATTTTTTATCTTCTCTTCAAGAATTGACCATCCATTATTCTTGGAAGGAATTAAAATCTCAATTTTAGTTTGAGTTAAAATTAACAATTAACTTTAAGTTTTAACCACATATTTTATAGTACCCATAATTTTTTAACCACATATTTCATCAATTTTTAATAAAATTTACTAAAAATTTGATTTCAACGAACTATGTGAAACACTTTGCCAGCTATGCAAACGTTGATAGTTGTATGGGCCAACTTCTCCGTATATTTCCATTTGTTTCTTTCTTTTCGTTTTTGACTTTTTCTTTCCTTCACATTTATTAAAGCAAATGAAAATCTCAAATTGCCCTCTCTACACGTTTTTAGTAGAGGTGGACATATTAAATGGAACTCGATTTAACTTAAAAAATGAAACTGACTCGAGTCGACTTTGATCGAGTTCACAAGAAGATCATCAATTTTCAGTTTAGGCTCGGGTTTTAAAAATATACCAAGGATCGGATCGATTTTCGGATAAGTTTATATCAAATTCTTGATAGGATCAGATCGATTTTCGGATTAGATGTCGATTAAATAAATGGGTTGACAAGCCGACCCCGGCACCCATGTTTTAGTGAGAACTCTCTCTGTCTCTCTCCACAAGCAATATGGACCGTGGGACCCGTCCAAGTTGGCCATTGGCAAGAGGATATGTACTTTGAAAGAATTATCACATATTTCTTACATGCCATTCAACATATTGTCCTCGTCGGTCAAATTTGGTCACAAATTTTGACACCTAAAAAATCTTATTCGACATTTGAATAACACGATATATTTTGTTCATGTATAAAAAGCAACTAAATCACTTGGTCGTAAATTGTGCACGTATAATACGCTATTATTACACTACAAAAACAAGATTGTGTCCTTATGATATGGAAACTCAATAAGAAATTTTAACTTCTTTTTCACTTATTATTTGTGATAGTAATCATTATTATAACTTAAAAGCATCTCAATTATAATAAACGGGAATATGCCGTCATTAGTTTAATAAGCACGGCACTAATCCTAAAATGATTCTGTACTAGGAAAAGTTTTAAATGTGTCCTAATGGGTCATTATTACTCGGAAAAGGACTGGTCCAGGGCCGTAGATAAAGTATGTGTGGTTGAGTTTTGATTGCCACACCACAACTATTTTTTAGGAGAATTGAACCACCGATGTCCGATCTATTGTTTGGGGAGCAAATTGGTCCTCAACATTTTACGGTGGTTGTGTATCAATCTTTTAACAGCGGAAATTGTTCAACTCTCTTCTGTAAATCATAACGTGACTTTGAAAACATACATCATTTCAAATCTTGAGGTGCCATCTCAAGTTAGAAATCAAAATCTAACTTCAAAAAAGGGGAAAACTGAAGGTCAAGTGATGATACAATTTCAGCGATTTGAAGAGCAAATTGCTATTCAGACAATAAATCGATAATGAATAGCGCAACTTTTTTCCAATTATTTTCCTTGTTGTGGAGTCAACTTTTCCCAGTTATTTGCCTTTTTTATGTAGTCGGAGTGCATGAAAAATTAACAATTGTTGGGAACGCAAAGTGTACAACTTAATGAAGTAAACAAGACAATTGATGCTTGATTTTATTAATATTACGAAAGGAACATACTTCTCCATGTCTGTGCTATTGTTAAGCATTGTGTGACAATTGGTTGGCCATAAAACAATCGTTTTGTTTAATGGGCAATGTAAGAATATTTTTGTGTGGCAATTAAGTTGCCAATCTTTTCCATCCTACAAAATATTTGGAATGTAGCAGAATTAAAGATAAAAAATGTGAGGTTTCACAAATCTCAAATCACA